CTTTTTTTTGAGTAAGTTACATTTGAGTTAGTTAAACATGGAATTATTATTTTCCTTTGGACTTCCAGCCCTTTGAGTCCATCTCCAAATGTCACCAGGTAGCATCAAGATGCTTTCTCTTTCTGAATGACTTCAGGTTGAATGGTCCATTTGATGTAGGTTCTGGTGGTGTGTGGTTCATGCACATCTGTGGTTTCATGTGCATACAAATCACCCAGCTTCAATACGAAAATAACAGACCTCTAAAAAGGAACCTTTCTTTTTAGCTTCCTTCACTACATGTATTAAAGTGTGATATAAATCAGTTGAACACCCTTTAACTGCTCTTCCTTTACTGAATGACCTCATGAGTGTTTTAAAGGAAATTCAGAGCTAGAAGAACACTAGTTGCAGTTGTAACAACTTCGTTAAAATATTACACGCTGACATATGACATATATTAGACATGTAGGGTGATGTGTCTTTCCCGAGGACACAGCGGCATGTGGACTGCAGTGGTGGGTTAGGGTTACCTAGGTGGGTTCAATCCCACCAGGGAAGAAAGGTGGGATTGAACCTGCTTCCTTGGTCCCCTGATCTGAAGATCAGCACACTAAACCACTGAGCCACAGCCGTACACTGACAGTTGCAATATGGTTTTCGGAGTTAAGTTTAGAAGAAGTTTAGAAGTCCACCTTTTAAATCATTTTCGATACCTACAGTAAAATACAATGCCCTTTTATGAGGTACCTTCTGCCAAATATCCGCCTGCCAGTCTGTGTGGATGTTTAATATGATGATGCTTGAGCGCATTTGCAGACGTTTGGACAGTGAAGACAATGAATATACCTTACAGACCATCTCTGCTATTACCAATGGTGGCTATACAACAAATCAGCAATTCTTGTATTTGATTTGTTGAATAATCTAAGGTGTAGGTGTCCCTTAAAACAAAAAAAATGACTGTACCCAGTTTTTATTTGTGTCGTGGTTTTTACTCATAACACTTTTGTTTTACCTGAATGCCAAGCAGCAGTCAACATAACAATTGGTAATACTCATGCTGTCTAAATTAGATAAGGAGTTTGAGGAGGGATAAGCTCGCTGTATATGACGTGGACTGCTTAGTTAGATTTTGAAAAAAATTGGTTAGGGTGTGGTTTAGCTGAAATGATCTGAAAAGCCATTTTAACTGGTTCAGTTCTGCCAGAGAGGAACGATGGCGCTTATCATCGGTTTAACGGAGTAAAGTGGGGTAGTGAGTGGAGTGGACATGATACTAACCTCACTGCTTTTAAGGATTATTGATTAGTAAGAGTGCTTCTTGTGAGGATGTAATGCACTTACCAGTCTGCTGATGGAAGTGTTGCTCTCCCCTCCCTGTTTGCCATTCAAACTACAGCTCCTTGGCACACATGTGCAATGTGAAGTTATAACTCATAGTAGGATACTGATACTAGAATTGTATTAGTAGTTTTAGTATTACCAATACATTTTATTAAATTCCAGGATTCTGGACACCCAGTTTGAAACCCTGGTGAAAAACAAAACAATAATTCCCATCTCCTTAACAAACACCTACTGTATGTATACCCTCTGCTTAGGGTCTTTATATACGGTGTTCTGAATCCCTCTCTAATATCTATTATACTTTGCTGTGAAAACATTTATTTTCAACAACTGGATTAATTACATTTCCGGCAAAGCTACATTTTTAACATGACATTTAACGTCACTAATGCACTTTTAGAAAGAGTTCTAAAACATCATAATGTTACTCATCATAAATTTAGCTGTTAGCTCCTGAATTTAGCAAAGCAGTACTTTTCTGCACTCCTGCAGCTAACAGCTAATGTTAGCTAGCTTTCCTCCTGCCAAATTCATCAAAATCACATTGTTCATAATGTAGCATTATCAGGGGGAAAAGGTAGTACAAGGTGATCTCTGATCTATTCAGAAAGAAAAGATTAGCATACTTCACAGACGGATGTGACAGGTTGAGACAATCATGGCCAATAACATTCAATTATTTAATCCTCATTAAACTGCAACGTGCAGCATTTCAAATATGAAATAATGATGAATATAAAGGGTGTTCCCTCTCCTGTAGTGTGTTCTATATTGTAGCTTTTAGTGTATGTAAATGCCCTGTGTTCCCTCCAGAGGGGGTTTCTCTACTACACACTGGGCTCTGGTTTCAGACAGAGGGTGAAAAGAGGTGCTGCAGCACAAGGCAATACAAAAACAAAAAAAAAGCTTTTTGAACGTTAAAGCTCTGAGACATGTCACAGTAGAGGCCCTTAATACAAATATGAACCTGAAAAGGAGCATAATAGGGCCCTTTTTAGGATTTTCGGATGGGTGAAGTCTTAATAACAGGAATAGGGTTGGTGCCTACATTTCCCATAACGCAGCAGTAGCAGTAGTGTGAATGACTCCCATCACTTGACCAAGGTGATAAAAGAGGAGCATTGTATTGATCCCTCAGTGCTCCGAGGTCTTTCTGCAGTCTTCTGTCCTCCTTCCCTCCTTTCTCTGGTCCATTTGTCTCAGAACGGAGCTATTATTGAATATTTATAAATGATTCTCATTAGAAAGATTTTCCTCTCTGGAACACGGCTCACACAAATGGAGATAGCGCTTTTCCTGTCCCCTCTGCTGGTTTTACATAAAAGCCTTTGTATTCCGTCTTTAATAACGCGTTGTTGTATTATCCAGCCGTGTCTGTGCTCCATCTTCGGAGACAAAAGAGTAATTGTTAGTCACCGAGAAGCTGCTAACACAAATCTTTTTTACAAGGACTGCAGGAGGCATTCTGGCTCTAATGATTTTACATTAGTACAAATATGTTGTTCAATTAGATAAATGTATATTTATTTCTGGCTTTAAATGGGTTATCCAGAAATATAGCATTCCTCCATAACATTAGGGGTCATCCTGATTTGTCTTTTCTTATTTATGCTATTGTAAACCAAAATCCCATGATCAGCTCTGCCATAAGACGGCACACTGCATAACAACAGATAGATTGTTACTTGTGTCGTTGACCGGGTTAGAGGTAAAACAAAATTCACCATTTAAGCATTTTGTGTTCCGGTACTTGAACATCACCTTCCATAATGACAGTAATATATGGGATCATTTTGGTGGAGCAACTTACAAATTGTATCTTTCTGACAAATACATCCAATGATCCCGTGTCTAGACTAAGAGCTTCATTGAACTACTAATGAAATATATCAATCTTACCAGGGCTATTTCTCTATTGAGGGACTTGAAGCTTATAAATAAGACATCACATTAAATCAAAAGAAATGCAGCACGGAATCATACATATAAATCTAAGTGATAAAGAAATAAATAGATGAACCCATGCATAGTAAGCGCTGTGGATAACCTGAGGTACAGTGACTCTTCGGTCAGAGTGCAGATTATTAAGACCACCGCTCAAACCGCATGTCTAATAAATCCTCCTCGTGGAGCTTCACTGTTCCTGCTGCGTCTCACTGGGTATTTTAGCAGGCTGTAGTTTTGCTGCTGTATTGAGTGGTACAGAAAGATGTTTCCATTACTTCGACCCTATTAGTGTGTCTCTGAATAATACTGCAGGTCTTCTGCGGTAATTCTGCAGGTCTCCCTTGAAAAAGAGATCTATGATCTCAAGGGACCAATCTGATTAAATAAAGGTTTGAAATGAAATGAAATGAATACATGCTTTATTGGTTTGACTTTGAGTGGGAAGTATTTTTGCAAAGAGATGCAGCTAATTGGCGACCTGTGCCTTTGTTCTGTCTGTCAGACATGTATCCATACACCATATAGGTGTGCACATATACAGTAGGTGTAAACATATAGTGCAGTGATGACACATTTTCGTAGGCCGACCTGGAAGAAAATATGCCCTGTATCACACTTTTAAGGGAGATGAAAAAAACCGAAATGAAAATTCGGGCGAACTGGTTAGTTTCTCCTACTTTCTTATTCGAATGAGAAAGTTACCGGTGTGCAAAGGTGTAAGTGGAGCACACAGGAGACCACCATTTCATTGCAGACTGTTATGTTTAGGTGTTGATATGACAGTGCTTATATTACTTGAGATGTATTTCAAACTCGGACTTCCGTATAAGAGCATTTTGTCCAGGGGTATGAAGCTATTTGTTTAAGCACCAGATCGGCAAAACAGGAGAGTCTGTAAACCAGTCTGCCTTGATCTATGAATTCATGTCTGTGACTCTCACAGTATCTGCTGCCCACAGCTGTTTTATAGAAGGAAAACGTCACCAGCATCAGCTGCAAAGAGTCAACTGTGTTTACCTTAATTAGAACAGCTAAAGAGCGACCGCAGGCTTCTACGTTTTAACCACACACACCTCTACACACACACCTCTACACACATCACACTGCTCGATTACTAGTTTTATGAAGAAGAGGTCCGGTCACCAAGGCGCATTATGTGTTTCTGCTGTGCTCCGCTCTGTGTTCAGAAGTGGGGTGTTTACTGACGTACTGTATGTTATGTCCTAGAACAAAACGTCAACATCTCTTCAGCTTGTGTTAACCACAGATCTTATTTCAGGCTTCTAACCAAAAACGTGTTCAAAAAACCATTGACTTCGGTTTGAGGGAAGTGCTAAATGTTGAATTTGAAACTGATGTTCAAGTAAGAAAGTTGTGTTCAATCTATACTCAGTCCTTTCCCTCTGCATAAAAATGTGTCTGCAGCACATAGAAAGTCTGGGCACATACCATAATTGATCATCCCTTTAACATGTTGCTTTAAGAGAATCCGTTGAAACAGTGAACACAGAGCTAGGGAATGTGTTGCTTTATTGTTGGAATAATTACATGAAATGGAACCACATTAAATATAAATGCCTATGGATTGAGGTCAATACAGAACATTCCCCACTACTGTACATGATTAATATATTTAACATAAACTAGACTTGATCTTCTTTGAGGTGCTTCTTACGTTGGTTTAATATCCATACCCCACTCCTCACCTGAACTAAAGGGAGAGCTAACAGACATTTCCTTTGTTTCTCCGCAGCCTCCTCCCTGTGAAGCAGGGCATCATGCTGGGCCAATACCTGGGAGCCTTCAGCCTCATGGACCACTTCACGGGACGCGCCATCAAAAAGCAGGAGTGACCGAGGGGAGAGGACGATATGAAGCTAAGAGACATGGAAACATTACAGGCATCAAAGCCAATTTAATCTTAATGGTCCCAGTGTATGAAGTAATAGAGGTGAGGGCAGAACATAATGCTGATCCTCTCATTTCAATTAAACAGTATATCTCACTGTATAATCCAGCTTGTAAGCTCTCATATCCTTAACGTACTTTTTTTAATGTATATATAATTGGTGAAATTCAAATGTAATCTTATGAACAGTTTGTATTTGATTAGTGCTCAGAAGTTTCAGGCAGCCAGTGTCCTTATACAACTCCTAGACATGTTAACAGCAAGTCATAAAGACAGGAAACATGGGTCCAAAGTCAAGTGTGATGTTTTCTAAAATCCCCTTACCTGCTGTGTACGTAGTGCTACAGCTCAGGTGGAAACAACACAGATGTTTCTTCTTCTGCTGTCAGAGAAGCAAGTCAGTGTACTAATGACTATAAAGTACACTGCTCTAATAATTGTAGACAGGGCTCATTATCTCTTACAATTCGAAGAAATACAAAAATCCAGCATTAATAAAATGCAACCTCTATCACTAGTATGTGCTGAGAACAAGTGAGATGTAAAGTTTAAGTGTACAAATATCAATATACACTTATTACGCAGACATTTAATCTGGTATCATGCCATATGAGCGCATTTGTGAACGTTTAGAGTTTAAATGTTCATCTGGCTCAGTGTTTGCAGTCTAAATCCTTTCACCTTAAAAAGCAATTGCTCTTACTCAGGAACAGCGGACCCTGCCTCAGGATTTAAATGTGATACCCTTGATATATCTTCACCTTGTAAAAAGGGGACACATCTTCAACTCCTTTATTCCCGTCCATCTTTAATCCTTTATTCGCAATTTGCTAGCAGCGCATTAGCATGCTACAGCTAGCCGCAGAGTGTGGAGCCCCCTCTGCTATTCTTATTCTTTCCATTCATTCATGAAAGCCTGGTAAGCACAGAATGTGAACACACTGTCAAACCACTAACCTTGCTAGTGCTTCATATACATATATAACTATATATGTAACAGTATGGTGCGTGTGTGTAGTCAGGAAGTGTGTGTTGGTACAGTACAGGTCTCACAATGAAGTAATTGTTTTGAAGAACATGCATGTTTTTTGCACCTAAAAAAGTCCTTATTGCCACATTAATGATCCTATCAATACAAGTATATTGTAACGATTATAATACTTATATGTATCATGAATCAACCGTTGTTTTAATCAAACAATGTGTCATATTTAATATGTAACAGTAGTTGATGCTTTTATATTGAACAACCTGTGTAAAGTCATCCTAGCTGTTGATGACATTGAAGTTATTGAAATGAAGAATGCACCTGTTGCCTTCATCATGCTAACACTGAAGGACATGAGATGTCAAAGAGATGCATTAAAAAGAAGGTTTGAAGTCAGAACCATCCCTCAGCTTGAATGTTTTGTGAATTATTATCAATAAATAACCATTTGTACGTTGTATTTCTGTTTCGAGTCTTCTGTTCAGCATTATACTTCCCACAGTTCCAGCACATTACACATGACAAGCGTTAACAGAATGCTTCTGTGATTGTTATTAATTAGTCATTGAATTTTACCATTTCATAGCCTAGGCATACAATTACCAAAACGTTGTCTTTGATTAAGACTTTTTTTACAGCCTATTATAGCGCAGAGCATTACACACTTCATACCGTATTGGAATACAATGTATTTTGTTTGTATAAAAAAGTCAGAAAGCGGATTAATGAGTGTTAAACTTGAAATTAGATCATGACAATGCTAAGGTAAAACAATAAGTCTTAAGATATGGTTTAAAGGTGTTTTCATTGACATGCCTACGGTGTTTCTGGCAGACTATTCCACAGGGCGGAACCAAGGACACTCACCTGTAGCGGTCTGTACTCACACGTCAGAGGACCTGAGGGGTCATGTCTGACGAGTGTTCAGGTGCTAGTCCATGGAGTGATTTGAAAATGGTCAGATAAATCCTAAACCATTGTAAACTGAGAAAATTACATACACACTATTGTAGTATCTCAACAATCAATGTCATCATTGACTGCATTGGAAGCAGAGCTTAAATCTAAAAATACTAATATTCAGAGTTTCATGTGTACATATTCAGTTACAGGCAATTCTCAACTTTAACTTGCATCAAAAGTAAACCAAGATCTCTTCAAATGAAAATAAATGTTGCAATAAAGCAGAGAGGATATTTATTCACCGTTCAAATCATACAAGATAACAGCAGCATGTGTAGCTACATTCAGTAGCTAGCGTAGCAAAAAACTGCTAACGCTAGTCACGCTAGTCTTTGATGTGCTGGCTGTTCTTTTTAGAAACGATAACTCCTTCCATCCACACCAGGTACAAGTACAACACAATGTTTAATCAGCACTTGCTGAAAATCCACAAACCAGCCTGAAAACAGAAACGATCAGAATTCTGTTCAGTTTAGTTGAAGTTACACAAGATAGTTTTGACCTATTCTTTAAAAATAACTACTTCATATCACTTCATATGATCAACATTCATACATTCATTTATATTACCGGCATTTTCATATGGCTTAGTATTATTCATGTTTGAAAAAGCGTGACCCAGGATTAGAGAAAGACAAATAAAAAAATAACACAATCCCAACGTCACCAAACCAGATCTAACAGAAAAGATTCACCCCTTATGTTAACACTCTCTAACCAGTTTCTCCTACCGAACCATTCTTATGAGCGCTCAACAGAAGCAATGAATCAGGAACACTCCAATTCCTGTCTGTGCCCCCGCGCACAGGATATATTACAGGAATGCTAATTAGCTGGTCAGAATAAATGGGCATAGTCTTTGAATACAAGGACCTCAGCATTTGTAAATGTGTCTCATGAATTTGAGAGAACGTGCTGTGAACGTGCTGCTTAGATTCACTTACACAGAGAAGTTGAAACAGACGAGCAGCCGATACGACATGTGTGGGTGTGATGATAACGGTGGTGCTGGAGCAGGGCGGTTCTTTGGGCCCAGAGTGCCCAATGCGTGGATAATGGGAGAATCAAAGGCTGTCAGTAATGTGGCTCTGTAGTAGGTAGAATTGCGCTATAAAGTATGGAGCTTTGTTTCAGAGCTGATGTGATACACAAGCCATTCT